AGAACCTTGCTAAGTGCTGCAAAATAAATCAGAAGTACAGTACAGCAAAATGTATTCTAATGCATTCTTTTGCATTTGAGCAGGAATGGGGTCTGTACAGGCATCCTATTCAAAGTTTTACTGAAGCGGGGAGGAATTACCACTGCAAAGGAATGGACTCATGATGCAGCATTCTTCATTTTGGCACACCACTCCTGGTCGTGATACATTCATTCTTTATTACTTGCTCTGCTGCACCCAGTGTTCTCCATGGCCCAAAATTTTGGCAGGGCGGTAGACAAAATTGCAAGCGCGAAGCCCTTACGGCATGGGGTCCGGGGCCCGCTTAAGGGCCCTGGAAAATTTTGGATTCTAAATGCTCTGTGGTGCATTTTGGGGCAATTTCCAGACCACTTTCGTCTGTAATTTGGCCCCAAAGTCTGATTACATTTACAACGTGAAATGATTGGCTAGGATATGCTTCAGGAGGAGTTTCTTCATCGAAAGATTATTTTAATTTCGGGAGCATTTTAGCAGAACTTCATGTTAGTGACTCGAGACATGCTTGAGACGAGCAGAGCATGCGGTTTTCTCAATGATCAGTTGACTGTGAAAAGGCAGAGTAAAAGCAAGCCTCAAAATGCGCCCTTGAATAAAAAAGGACAAAAGAAATATGTTCAGGCAAAGATAAGTTTACAGTTTCCAGTTCACATGATAAAAATGAAGCAACCCTTCCATCGCAGCAGAGCGTGGGGGCCGCTCAGCCATGGCATGGTCCTTCCACTGGCACCCGCGCACACTCCGCAAAATAATGTTGCGCCGCGGGTACCAGTCACATGCACTGCGTGTACATGTACAAGCTTGCGGAATACAATGTACGTGTACATGTTCAAAACATACGTGATGGTTTTTCGGCACACAAGGTAGACTAAACATAATGGTAGGCAGCCAACGGTCACCATTGTCAGTACATCACAAGCGTTTTCGGTAAATTCAAACTCGATCCACAAACTGCAGGAAACTTCTTTTTATTATAATCTTGAGAAAGTAGACATTCAGGGAAAAATACACTACTCAAAAAAAAGCAGGGTGGCACAAATTTTAGCAGGGAGGTCCAAAAGAGTAAAGGTTAACCTTAGCCATCCAGGGTTCTTTGGCTAGAAACCCTGCCAGACACGTCAGTCTGCATCATTTGTCAAAGTGGCTTGCCTGCCCAGTGTGACAAGATCCAACAGGTCTAGTCCTCCAATGTCTCAACATGGCCAGTTTGTTCGGCTGCTGTTGTTTGCCCAGTGCAACGAAGTACACCAGACTTTTACATCTGCTGCACAATGCTGCATCTGGCAGGGTTAGGGTTAACCTCGTTTACATGCTCTAACGAAGGGTGAACTTCTTAATATTTGGCTCATCAGGCCACCTTTAGTATCAAGATTTTTTTCCCTTCCCTTTCCTTGTCTCACAGGTACATTAATGGAGCTGGGTATATCACCCATCGTGACGTCTGGCTTGATCATGCAGCTGCTTGCCGGAGCTAAAATCATCGAGGTTGGAGATACCCCAAAGGACCGGGCCCTCTTCAACGGAGCTCAGAAATGTATGATTGTAATTACAGTTTAGTCGCTAGCCTAAGTAAAAATGGCTGCTATCTCAATCGTCCATCGTTTCTTGAATATTCTTCATGGCAATGTGGTCGTTGCCTCAATCCTTGAAACTCTTTGGGTAGCAACTGTCACTCTGCTGGAGTGGTGTTACCTATGCTCGTATACTTGCATTGCTGAGCATAAGCAAATTACGATTGGATCTTAGATTTTGACACAATGTATGCCTCAAAATCAGTTACACGTTTTGGCCATGCTGTTTCCATCCTTTAAAATCTTTCATTTTATATGCAAGAAGGGTTTTAGAAGATTAGGGGTTGGCAGTATGTAAAAATCCTGTATGTAAAATGTAAATCTGTTCACTAAGGTTGCAGTGGATGCATTGGACAAGTTATAAAGTGCTAGTCAGTTTGTCTATTTTCAACCCTTCTTGTGCAGTGTTTGGTATGATCATTACTGTTGGCCAGGCCATCGTCTACGTCATGACTGGCATGTATGGCGACCCCACAGACATTGGCGCTGGCATCTGCCTGCTGATCATCATCCAGGTAGGTACAGCTGGTCGCTCACGAGATTAAATGCCTGATCAATAACAACTGCACTGGTGAGCTTAGCGAATGTTCGGCATGAATGTCTACATTTTCCTGTGAAGAGGTCTTTGCATGAGTGGCAGGTAGTCTTTTGGTGCCTGCTGAAAGGGGGCTAGTTTTATGACCTCACCCTCTGTGTGTAGTTTATTTGTTTACGTTGCAAATCACATACTACCGATTCTCATCTGAATGTACATAAAATTGTAGCATTTGCAGAGGACCACAATCGAATTTGAGCTGGCATAACAGCAAGTGACATTCAAGTATTGTTGTCTCTTTTTTAGGAAGTTCTAGATGTTATTTACCCTAATCCTCTAGGATACTTTTGCTAGAAACCCTGCCAGACGCATCAGTCTAGATCATTTTTCAAATGGGCTTGCCTGCCCAATGTAACAAGATCCAACTGGTCAACTCTCCCCAAGGCCAAACAGCCTGGGAGTCTGTGGTTGCCAGCCAACACAAGATCCAACAGTGGCATTGTACAGTGAGACCAGCTCCCTTTGTCTTGACAAAGGCAGTTGGTTGGACTGCTGTTGATTACCCAGTGCTACGAAGTGCACCAGACTTTAAACCCGGTGCACTTTAGCTGTGCCTGGCTGGGTTAGGGTTCATGTGCCCTGACCGCAGAGCAAACATTGTAGAACGTACCCAACAGCCAAAAAATGTTGCTTCTCGTAGTTGAAAGCAAAAGTTGCAAGACCAAAGTGTATGCCATAGCAAGGCTAACGTTCAAACTAATGGAAATTTATTTTTGAGTTTTTAATAATTCAAGCAGATTCTGCTCATCTGTGCAGAAAAAGTGCCTCTTGACCTGCTTCAACTGGAAAATACAGTGTTCTTGAAATGAACAGAACTTTCTGTCTTTGAAAATCTGTGCATAGAGCCATGCTCTGTTGAGCCAACGGTTTCATCTAGGATTGAAACATCTGCCTTTCCCTACCCCAGCCCCTGTTAAAATCTGCCCGTTCTCTGCTGGGAAAATCTTTGAATTTGACACCCCTCGATGTTGTCTCAGGCCATATTTCCATTGTACACTGCATTTTTGGAAGGCAACGCGAGGACTTGTTCGCTGGTGCCAAATAGTTATATGAAAATGAGGCTTTTAAAATTTGACCCAGTAGAAACTGCCTGTCCAAATTCATGTTTGGCCAGTCCTTGGCACAGGTGGACAGGTGTCTAAATGAGACATTGCTGGAGCCTAGACGAAATAGATTAGAATTTAAGAATTGACACCGTAGCTTCACTGTCTCGATTTTTTTAGCTGTTTGTGGCTGGACTGATTGTCCTGCTGCTGGACGAATTGCTGCAGAAGGGATACGGCCTTGGGTCTGGTATCTCCCTCTTCATTGCTACCAACGTGTGCGAGACCATTGTGTGGCGAGCGTTTAGTCCGGCCACCGTCAACACTGGAAGAGGTAAAACATGAAAAACGGCTGGAATGACTGTGCTTGCTCAGCGTGCTTGCCTTCTTAGTGACCTAGAAAAGCATTTGAGACTATTTGTGTAGTTCCCTGACTGTCCTTGTCAGTCTGTGAATACGAGTGGCTGTGGCGGTCTTCTAGTTCATGACACCAAACAAATACTCTCGACAAAATGGCATTAACGTCATGAAAATTGTCATATTTTAGTCCTGGTAAGCCCTGGAAAAGGCATTTGGTCCTAATATGTGGTGGTTTATTCCATCCATTAGGGCGGATGAAGTTATAAATGAACCAGTGACAGGTAAAAAATTGAGATCGGAATCCGTATGAAATAAACAGGCTCTAAGAACATGTTTAACCATGCGTAGGCCCCAAGGCATTACATGTGGTTTGTAACCAGGCTTCAGAATGTATTTATGGCAAATTTTTCAAACAATTGTGTAGCTGCACAGTGTTTTCATTATTGAAACATGCTGAAGGCTTTGAACTTTATTGGCAGATGGAACTGACTTTATGGGAACATGAATTATTTGTTCTGAACTAGATTGGAGCCATTCGCCTGACCAAAAGGACTGTTTTCTAACTTTCGTCTTTCAGGCACCGAGTTTGAGGGCGCCGTGATAGCCCTGTTTCACCTGCTGGCCACCCGCTCCGACAAGGTGCGCGCCCTGCGCGAGGCCTTCTATCGACAGAATCTGCCCAACCTGATGAATCTGATGGCCACCCTTCTGGTCTTTGCCATCGTCATCTATTTCCAGGTCAGTTTGAGCTGTGACCCCAAGGTCACGTTATAGTGACCTGAAGCGGAATGGTAAAATACAGTGGAATGCCCCTATACCGAACACCACTATACCAAGCATTCTGCTGTACTGAACATCGTCCTTGGCTCCCAATATTTTGTGCACAAAACCTACTGAATTTTGTGCAGTTACAAATCAACCAAGATTTGCCACAGCATTCATCAGAGATTGATCCTGAGAGGTAGCATCACGACTTTCAAGATAAACTAAATGTCAATTTTGTAACTCAAGATTTCATAAAAAATAATAATTAATAGATACATTTCTAGAAACCTCAAACATGAAAGCAACAGCAAAACATCACGAAAACAGTGAATCATAGTATCACAAGAGGGCGCTCTTCAGTTAGACAAGAGAGGGCGCTATTCAACATGGCAACGAAATGTTCGGCAGTTAATTTCGCTATACCGAACGACCACTGTACTGAACATTTAGCGTGGACCCTGTCGTGTTCCACTCTACCTTCTTTGGATAAATATACGTATTATTGGACACATTTCCTTACCACTCGTCTACAGTATAATTGCATAGTGAACTTGTCCCAGATGCATGGTTATTTTTCGGCAGAAAATGCAACTTTTTAATATGACGAGATTCCACAGCCACAGGCCTTTACAAAGTTGGACTTTACAAATGCTCACCCTCGGTGGTCATTTGTTCAGACTTATCATTTCTTTAATACTGCAACGCTCTGTTGAAACGTTGCAATAGTATGACGGAGCAATATTTGCTGCAACAACTGACAGTGGCCCATGGCCACTTGAGGGCTTCACTCATTCTCAACCTCCATTGTTTTGTTTGAGTTTCTGTGTGTGTGCAGACTCGGTGAGACAGTTCGGTTTTTCAAAAACAGCACGGTCATGAGGGAACAAAGCATCTGTGCCAGTCCATCCCGGGCTGCACTGATGGGGCAGACTTCGCACGTGCCTCTGAATGACTTCGGACGCACTCCGTTGCGGGCACGCGCATAGACATCACCCAGCACTGTATACAGAATTGGCCAGAATGTGGTTTAATATCTTCCTTGTTACAACATAGGGAATAACACGTCATCTGGCATGAAGTGGTTGAAAAACTCCTCTTTATGTCTTTGACAGGACATAGGCTCTCCGCTCCAAGCAGGAAATAAAGAGGGCGTGTTTTAAATGAAATTGACAGTCCTTTGGTATGTACTCACTACATAGGCTTGCAAGCTTATGCTCATTTGACATGGAGCGCGCACAGTACGGGCAACAATTTTTTCTGGAATGTATGGTCTTCGGCCTGCACGCCGAACGCGTGCAAGAACCCGGTTGGAAAACTTTGCTCCAGTCTGTCTTTCTTTCGCTAGTGAGGGCGCGCTTCAACTCAGGATGGATACCTACGCAGAATAGTCCGGTTGGATACCTACGATGAATAGTAATCATCGACTTAGAACTTTTACTTGGGTGACCACCCTTGCATGTACATCTCGTCCAGTGACAAATGACAAAGTCTATAACAGTTGGATCTTGCATCCTGTTCACGGTGCCCCGACTTGGTGATGGTTCATAATAGACTCCAGTCAGTGCTAAGGCTCAGAGGAGCCCTCACCATCCGGTGTGTCTGGGCTGGAAATTGGAGGAAATGAAGCGCAACCCTCCCTCTCTAAATGTGTCTTGTGAAGAAAAGCAAACCGTTTTTGGGGGGTCACTAATAGTTCAGGTGTTCCTGCACCTGTTTCCCTGAAACTCATCCACAAATTGAGTTACGATGCAGGTTGTGACCTCAGGAAATAAAGTATGATGCAGTATCTTTTCCAGAGGGACAGACCTTGTCAAACTTGGCTTTATTCTACTTTGGTCACGAAAAACCTCGTAGAAATTATAGAAAGACTGCAGATGTTTTGCACATACATGTGTACTTGGATTTTGATTATTTCAAAACACTTTTTCAAATATTACAGAAGGGATGTGAAACTCAATTTCTGTAGCTGTTGTTTGAAGCGTTGTCCAAGTTCATTGGTCCATTCTTGGAGCCTTTTGCCACTATTGCACAATACCTGGGGCAGAAATAAAATGTGACCTCCTTACACCGACCTCCTTACACCAACTCTGAAACAGTTTTCAGAGATAACATAGGCAGAGTTCCATCAACAATGATAGCATGTACTGCCAGTTACTGATCCTCATGTACAGTGATGGACAGTATGTTCAGCTTGTGCAATCTGCTTCTTGAGCTTGAGTCCGCTTGTGTAGTGATTTGGTAATGGGCTCAGGTTCTGCTTCAGCCCACGGTCTTTGTTCAACCTTGAGTTTGCTTCTTAGGCTTTCAGTTTTAATGTTTGCATATAATATTTATCTGGTTTGCATTCAAAGCCTGGTTGTGTCTCTAGGAGGAGCAGCTTTGTCAAAAATTTGAATAAAGTCTGGTACACTGAGTTCTTCAAATGTACGTGAACATAGCAATTTGAATTCTCTGTACTTCATACTCCACAAAGACACTGGTTCTATACCTCATGGTTCGGGGAAGCTTTTGCTTAATAGTTACATAAAAGACACCTTGCGCCACTACACTGTTTTCAATGGATAAGAAGGGCACAAAGGAACCAGTTCATTCCAGAGATGGTGGTCACTATGCAAAAGTTTGCCCCGAATCACGAGGTGTAGCAACAGTGTCTTTAGTCTGGGGAATTCAGCTTGTTATGTTCATGTGCAATCAGATAACTCAGAGTACCAAGTTAAACTTCTTCCCTGGAAGGTATACATGTACAGCTCCCTCAAGGTGTTATTTCCTTCCTGACTGCAGGGATTCCGTGTAGACCTGCCCATCAAGTCTGCCCGTTACCGTGGCCAGTACAGCTCCTACCCCATCAAGCTCTTCTATACATCCAACATCCCCATCATCCTGCAGAGTACCTTGGTCTCCAACTTGTACGTCATATCCCAGGTCAGTTCCTGTCTTTTATTTCCTTATAAACCGACCGTAGATTTGCAGCTCTTTTAACCCCTTCGCGCCAGGAGACAGTAAGAGCCGCCGTAAAAATTGAGATCCTCAGCCCGCTTTTCAGCTATTATTCTCGGCCCACGCTCGAGCGAACACGGGGAAAGAAGGCAAACCCTGGCTCTTGTATATATGGTAATTGGTCTTTGTGTGTAGCTCGAAATGAAAA